GAAAGTGTAGATAATAACATATAATGTCATTGCCACGTTCTGTTTTATTAACCTGAAGAAGATAATGAACAGTCTAGATAATAACGTATAATGTCATTGCCACGTTCTGTTTTATTAACCTGAAGAAGATAACGGACAGTGTAGATAATAACGTATAATGTCATTGTCACGTTTTGTTTTATTAACCTGAAGAAGATAACGGAAAGTGTAGATAATAACGTATAATGTCATTGTCACGTTCTGTTTTATTAACCTGAAGAAGATAACGGACAGTGTAGATAATAACGTATAATGTCATTGCCACGTTCTGTTTTATTAACCTGAAGAAGATAATGGACAGTGTAGATAATAACGTATAATGTCACTGTCACGTTCTGTTTTATTAACCTGGAGAAGATAACGAAAAGTGTAGATAATAATGTATAATGTCATTGCCACGTTCTGTTTTATTAACCTGAATAAGATAACAGACAGTATAGATAATAACATATAATGTCATTGTCACGTTTTGTTTTGTTAACCTGAAGAAGATAATGGACAGTGTAGATAATAACATATAATGTCATTGTCACGTTCTGTTTTATTAACCTGAAGAAGATAACGAAAAGTGTAGATAATAACGTATAATGTCATTGTCACGTTCTGTTTTATTAACCTGAAGAAGATAACGGACAGTCTAGATAATAACGTATAATGTCATTGTCACGTTCTGTTTTATTAACCTGAAGAAGATAACAGACAGTCTAGATAATAACGTATAATGTCATTGTCACGTTTTGTTTTATTAACCTGAAGAAGATAATGGACAGTGTAGATAATAACATATAATGTCATTGTCACGTTCTGTTGTATTAACCTGAAGAAGATAACAGACAGTGTAGATAATAACGTATATAGTCATTGTCACGTTCTGTTTTATTAACCTGAAGAAGATAACGGACAGTGTAGATAATAACGTATAATGTCATTGTCACGTTCTGTAGTTTTAACCTGAAGATAAAGTAGCAACTGCTGTGTTATCCTAAACGAGCTAGTGAAGATTCTATTAAATATGTTCTAGAATTTTCCCGTAAAAATATACTGAACAGCGCACCTACAGTCCGAATTTTGGGGCGTGCTTTTGATAAGGCTGGCCCGGCTTTCTTATGATCGATGAATAAAACTGAATTATAACTCCTGCGTTACTATTAGCAACAAAAATAAGAAACATGAAATTTTTTGACTAGTCATTATTTTCTCAAATCAACTTCTTTTGAGAAACTGGGCGTTTTACAATGTAGTTTTAGTTATGTATTATCTACAATTATTGAACGCCATATGTTTTCTTGCAATCGTTGTGACGTTACATTAATGTCTACCAGTGGCTCAGCGATAAGTCTACAAATTTACGAAGCTAAAATTCGGGTTTCGATACCGTGGTGAACATTGCACTGATACCCCATTGTGTATCTTTCTGCTGATCAACAACCAAACCAAGAAAAAGAACGTTAATTTATTCAGAATCGTTTATTCTGACAATAACTCCACAACATATTTCAAATTATTATTTCTTTTATCAAAAAATTGATAAGAAAACAATTTGTCATAAACTGATTAAGATGGAAAGCATTAAACACCGAATTTCGTTCTTGTGCTCTGGAACTATACTTAATTTTATAATGTCGTCGATAGAGGGCAGCCTTGAAACACACCATGTAACGCATCTCAACATTTTGCATTAGACTATTTTATTATTGGCATATTTAAAGTATAATATTCATTGTTAAAATCATTTCTGTTGGGGGTTTTAAAAAAATTAAGATCTCAAATATAGCTTATATACGTCTTTTGTGTTTCTTATTTACAACTAGAGCTATACTTCTGGACCTGGCATGCCCTGGTAGTTAAGACTTTTATTTATTTTAGAGCAAAACCAAATTGGGTTATCTGCTGTGTCCACCGCAGGGTATTGAACCCCGGATTTTAGCATTGTAAATCCGTAAACTTACCACTGTCCCACCTTAAGCTAA